CCAACTATGTAACCTTACCTCTCTAGTTGCTCTGACATGAGATATGTCTGGTTTGCCTCCATGATGAAGTTCAGCTGGTTGATAAGATCCTCAGGCTGGATCAGCCCCTCCAGTCTTCCAACAACTGTCATTTTGCGGTCCTTCAGCATGATCATAGCCAGGAAGGGATAGGTGTTCTCACGCAGGGCCTGAGAGACTGAACACACAACATAAAGGAAACAAGCTCAAACCACATCTCGTGAGATAATAGGGGCTTTCGCACCGGGTAGTTCTAGGAACTAGCCACCAGGGTGGTTCCCCGATAACTAATGGTTCCCTTAGGAACATTTTCCTGTTTGCAAGTAGGAACTCTGAAGTGACGTAAGCCGCGCTTCTTGTTGTGACTTATTTTAACGGCGCTGAGAATGCCAGAGCCCGAGCTAACAGTGCTCGCATTTTCCGTGTTCACTCGTATCTGTCTAACAGTACTGTCTAATAAGTTATTAGATAGAACTGTTATACATAGAAAGTAGACAGTATATGAAAAGGTATTAGCATTTGCAGTGTGTTTGATGTCCAGTGTTGCTAGCTGAGCAGAAATACATAATGATGTTTCGCTTGGTCCCCTCAAAGTTGCGTAGGATTTTCTCCTTATAGCATAAAGGTTAAGAGGCCCATCTATCACTGTTTTCCATGTTCATAGAGTTAGTTTCTGGAATAAATATATAGGTTATAATCTGTGTGTTTACACAGCTTTTTAAAAAATGGCGGGTGCTGGTGTTTAGCATGCGTTCGGCCAATCAGCGTACACTAACGTCACAGATAGTTCCTGTAGTGCTGGTTTAGACCCTACTCTGAAGTAGGAGCTAAATTAGTTCCTTCATAAGGAGTTCCTAGAACTAAAATCATTCCTAGTTCCTGCAGTGCGAACACACCAAATTCCGGGAACTTCCGCCAATAGGTCTAGGAACTGAAGAGGTTCCTACGGTGCAAAAGCCCCTTATGATGACACCATAACAATATTCAGAAAGAGATTAATCAGAGACGTAGAAGTGACGTTGGTTACCTCTGTAACCCTCCGGCTTGCTGGTGGAACATGCCCAAAACAGCATCCTTGTGTTAATGAAGGTCAGTACCTCTTCTGAACATAATGTGGCTCTGAGAGAGACAGACAGACAGGAGCTCTAGTTATGAAATCAGAAGCTCACCAGATGTTACATGAATGAACATCACAACTTTAAACCTACCGGCAGAACTCATCTGTGTCCTGGTGATCATCTCCATGAAGATAAACTAACAAGTAGCGAAGTTCTCGCTTGGCATCATTCAGAGCCTAGAAGAAAAAAAAGTTAATTTGATACACTTTTTGATTTACTTCATGCAAGTCATTTCAGTCTGCCTGATTAATGGGTCAATATTTGAAGTTAAATGGTCTTAATATTGTAAGAATGTTAAGATAAATACATCAGTTATACATCAACACACCTGACTATATGTTCCCTGGTAGAAAACTGGATGCGATCTACCATATTTCTCCTCAAAATTATGAATAAAGGACATGACATCCCCAACAGGATCTGTGACACGACCCCTTGGATCTGACCGAATGAATCTCAGGGCAAACCTGAAAAATTTAGGAAAGGAAGAAACATCAGTGGAAAGACTAGTAGCATTAGTGTAATATAATACAGGTCTTTGTTAACATTTCTAAGTTTAATTGCTTTAATACCTGAATACATCCAGAAGTGTATAATACGTAAACCTGAAGGGAAGCATTATCAAGTAGTAACTCCAACCTAATAAGCCCTGTAAAAAAAGTAAACGTTTATATAAGCACTTTGTTTAATATTTATAGAGATCATGTTGTGATATTTTGTTTTGTCAAAATAATCATGTGTTAAACGGTATTACCCTGAACTGTATGTCACACCAGGCCGAAACCAGCAAATTACCACTTGACATTTTTATATTTACCACAGCTGCATAAAAACTTATATTTGACATGTGTCATTTTTTGAAAACATTGGTACAAACGAAATGAGCACTGGGAAAGAAAGGAAATACACAAAACCAAATAGACTCTCTTACTCTAGGCTGTGGCCTTGAGACAATATAGCTATACACTCTGTGGTCTGTTGTGTTGACCTGTAACGGTCTGGCGGGTGGCGGGTTGAAGACACTCGGAACTCCTTCTTGCTCATTTAGTCTGTCTTGTACTGCAGCCTGCAACAAAGATAGATTCCCAATTAATCCTACAATTATATGGTTCCTAATACAAAATGATAAACAAAACTAAAATGACTGGATCAATTCATCTGGTTTACCATCTCTCACCTCAATGTTCCAATTGTGCTGTTCTAATGTGCGCCGACATTGGTCCATTGACTCCAAGCCTGTCAGGTCCTGAATAATATGTGTCATTTGCCAACAAAAGTCTTTAGGTTAAAAAAAGAGCTGGTATCTATTGTCACAATAACTTAGAAAATAAATATCCAGTTGCCTGGCTAGCATGTTTATAAAATGTGTGCCAAAAGTTCTGCTACTGAATGAAACAGTTATGTTTCATTCAGGCGATATGTTTGAAAAATTATAGATTACGCGAGTGTTTTCGAGATCAGTCACTAGTCAAGGGCGTATTTCTTTTATATTACTCTAACTCAGTAGTAGCCTAGATGTAGAAGAAGTAACGGAAACTTCTCCAATGATGGTAACTTGCAACCAGTTTAAAACAAGACAAATAAACTCATCCTCAAATTCAGCAGGTTAAAAGTAAGTAATGCCAAACTGGGAGCAGATTAGGACTGCGTCTAGAAACCTAGCGAGCTGTCTCTCTAACGTTAGATAGCATTTTTGATATTACGCACCCGTATGACTAGCGGTTCTCCCTCTCTTTATTTATAAATAAAAATAAAAGTACTGCAGCCAAATTAGACAACATTTTGGCCATCATAAGCGCTCTTGACTTTACTTTGATCAAATCTAACTTACTGTCAAGGTAGGCAGCTCTCTAGGTTTTGAGACACAATAAATGACTCGCTGCCTAACTGACAGCTGCCATTTCAACTAAAACAAGACACTTGTAAACACTAGAAAGTCTTTATGTGGACACCAATCAAAAGGTTATTATACAGATTAATTCTGTATTTATTAGGTGCACTGAAGCTGGTCTTGGTTGAGTAAAAACTAACGATCTTAATGGGAGTTAGCTCGCTGACTGGTCATTTATACCTAAAGCGGCTGAGCTGGATACCACGAACACAATTTTTCTGATAATTGAGCGTATAAAATATTCAATCAATATGTGTCACCAAGACAAATTAATTGATACCTGAAACTGGAGGAGTTTTTCAGTTTGAGCCTGAGATAATTCCTGTTCTTCTGGCGCCGCCATCTTACCTCGCCGAGCCCTAATAAAACGTGATGACGTATAAAGCGTGCTGACATGACGAATACGTTATACGTTGCACAAACAACTCTTTCTTTTTTGCGCCACCTGCTGCGCAGGAGTCGAGTGGCGCATGTTTTGTTTTATCTACATTGTTTTCACTAAGAACAATGTTCATACGTAATATACAATAAACAGTGTTCTTTATTTTTATTTGAACAATTAAAAAAATAGTTAAGTGCAGCTAGTAATCATAATTAATGTATTTAAAATAGATAGATAGATAGATAGATATATAGATAGATAGATAGATAGATAGATAGATAGATAGATAGATAGATAGATAGATAGATAGATGATAGATAGATAGATAGATAGATAGATAGATAGATATATAGATAGATAGATAGATAGATAGATAGATAGATAGATAGATAGATAGATAGATAGATAGATAGATAGATAGATAGATAGATAGATAGATAGATAGATAGATAATCTTCATTTTCAGATAATAGCATGATCTTTAGACACTTAAGGTGGGTTGCAAGAAAAAAAAAAAAAAAAAAAAAAAAAAAAAAATTGAAGCATTTTAAATCTTAAAAGGAAAGAGACTCATACATGACTATACAATAATTCACTAAGGGATTTTATTATCTTTGGATAAGTATTTTATGGATGATATACATAGATCCATATATAGATAGGCATGATAGGCCAATTCTTACATTCATTTTTAAAACAAGTTAACGAGGGTTTACTGTTATTCCACTTGCTTTTTATTTACCCATAGTAATAATAACATTGGTGACCTTAAATAATTTAAGTGAAGGAAACACATTTGAATATGTACAACATTGTAAAAAACAAACAATATACAACATAAAAAAAATAAAATAAAGGGAAAAGAGACCAAGAGACTCAACAGTAGACACTAGGGAATGAGTTTGCATAAGTATTCATGAAAAATTAGGGCTTTTTTTGTTTTGCAACATTTCAGGGATTGTTTATATAATTTAGAAAGGCATTAAAGACAGGGGATGTTTTAAGAAATCGACATTTGTGTATGCAATATTTTGCCATTAAAATCAGATTATTCACTCCAAACTCAGTTGTTCTGTTCTCCATTTGAAGTCCAAATTTAACGTATCCATATGTTAAAATTGGAATATTTTGTGTATCGTACATGATCCAGTACTGGAAACGAAAGCATCCCAGAAGGTCTGGGTTACACTACAAGAGAAGAAGAGATGTTCTGCGGTTTCAATGTCAGAATTACAGAAAGTACAAACATTCACATCCATATTAAATCTTTGATGCAAGAAGTTGTTACATGGATAAATCTCATTCATCACTTTGAAGTGAACTTCTTTTACCTTCGGTGAAATAGGAAAAGAAAGGTAACTGGTTCTTATATCTTCACTAAACAATTGCTGGTAAATTTATGGAAGATAATGTTTTCTCTTGAATGGTGAAGGGAAGCAGATCGAAATGAGAACATTTCTAAAAAATGTATTATTACATTCATTTTTATCTAAGAAATTATAAATTAATAATATAATTAAGGAATATTTTATTGCAAATTTCTTCATGTGTCACGTGATGCACAGCTGGCGGAAACGCCGTGTTTATTCCACTTCCTGTCAACCGATGTTCTAATCATGGCAACTGCAACGACCCCGGTTGGCCAAGATCAACCGAACAAAACAGCTTCTCCACCGGTCGTGTTTGATTTGTCTCAGCCTCCGGTCATAGAGGGATTTACCCCGCTGCCCAGGGCGAGGGAAGAGAACTTTAAAGACAAATTCATCAGGAAAACGAAAGAAAATCCGTTCGTTCCTATAGGTGAGTTACATAAAGCAGTGACTTACTTACACAAGCTGCACAACATAGCTGCTACATTATATGATACAACCACCATAGAGCTTCATATGATCTTGTTTACCAACATTTAAACACCGTTAAACATAAATTTCAAAGAGTTTTGAATGGGCTTAATGCAGTGCCATAGCATGGAAACGTCTTATGTCATGCATTCAATCTTTGGCATCATATGGCATATTCTGAATCACACTAAGTTACAGGGTTTCTACCATACAGCTGACATTTCACTTTTGCACTCATAGTTTGACTTTCATCTCCCCCTGTCAAAGTAACACCAGACATTTAAATATTTAGACATTTAGAGTTCCCTCTTCTGTGTAATGGAAGTGGTGCTGTGCAAATTCTTTGCTGTCAAAGCCAGAATAAAAGGATAACCAGGATAAAATACAATAAACAAAAACAGGGGCATTGTTGGTGTTGAAGCTTGGTCAAGGCTGAATGTGACCCATTCTTATACACAATAATCATCAGCTGTTTAAAAACTTACCTACATTTGGTTCTTGACCATTGAAAATAGTTAACATTCAACAATTTGAGCATGGAGCTGCTTTGAGATCCCCATATCTATGGGACTGAACTTTACAGGACCTTAACTTTTCTTTTGGAATCTAAATTAATTAAGAATGAGAATCTAGAAGGATATTAATATATCTTGAATACTTTTTGAGTTACAGGCATGACAACTTTAGAAAAAGCATATTTATGGCACTCAGACAGGTATTTGTTCTATGCAATTGAGCTGATAGAAAAAAATATATATATTTCTAGTTTTAACATTTATTTCGTTATATATTCCTCTTTAAAATAAAAAAGGTATCAGCTGTATTCAAAGTGGCCCACGTTTGGGTTTTGACCCCTGAAAATGTGTACAATTTATTTACCAATTTACTCATGGAGACACATTAACATGTCCGTATCTCTGGGATTGAACCATCGAGGGGCTTTAAAATGAAGATACCAAAAGAAAAGTTTAAGAACCAGAATCTAAAAGGATATTAAGATATCTTTAATACTTCTTGAGTTACAGTCATGCAAACTTGTGGCAAAAAATACAAGAAGTGCTTTTTGCCCTTTTTAAACTGTCACTGTTGGCATATGATGAAACAAAGATCGCTAAAGTCAACATATTTTACTAATAGACCAACCTATCTCTGTGTAAAAATAAAAATGATGCTGCCATCTTTCTAAAGTCATTTTTACACCCCTGTAATTTGGCTCCAAATCTCAGGTGAAAATTGTCATTTTGACCCCTCTCCAAAATAGTGTATTACACAATAAATATACATCTGTGTGACATTTAATATTTGGCTTTCATCACTATTTATGTTCGTCTTCGCACTAAAAAAATATTAACAGAATAAAAAAATTGAGAGGGGGACCTCTGGTTGAGTTGACACGGAATGACCCTATAATATGCTGATTTGGGGCTTAAGAAATATTTCATATTATCAATATCAGTGTTGAAAACAGTTTGCAGCTTTATGTTTTTGTGGAAGCTGTGATAATTCTCAGTAGGACACCAAATTGTACCGTATATACAGGTCCTTCTAAAAAAATTAGCATATCATGAAAAGGGTCTCTAAACGAGCTATTAACCTAATCATCAAATCAACTAATTAACTCTAAACACCTGCAAAAGATTCCTGAGGCTTTTAAAAAACTCCCAGCCTGTTTCATTACTCAAAACAGCAATCATGGGTAAGACTGCCGACCTGACTGCTGTCCAGAAGGCCATCATTGACACCCTCAAGCAAGAGGGTAAGACAGAAATAAATTTCTGAACAAATAGGCTGTTCCCAGAGTGTTGTATCAAGGCACCTCAGTGGGAAGTCTGTGGGAAGGAAAAAGTGTGGCAAAAAACGCTGCACAACGAGAAGAGGTGACCGGACCCTGAGGAAGATTGTGGAGAAGGACCGATTCCAGACCTTGGGGGACCTGCGGAAGCAGTGGACTGAGTCTGGAGTAGAAACATCCAGAGCCACCGTGCACAGGCGTGTGCAGGAAATGGGCTACAGGTGCCGCATTCCCCAGGTCAAGCCACTTTTGAACCAGAAACAGCAGCAGAAGCGCCTGACCTGGGCTACAGAGAAGCAGCACTGGACTGTTGCTCAGTTTTGCATGTCATTCGGAAATCAAGGTGCCAGAGTCTGGAGGAAGACTGGGGAGAAGGAAATGCCAAAATGCCTGAAGTCCAGTGTCAAGTACCCACAGTCAGTGATGGTCTGGGGTGCCATGTCAGCTGCTGGTGTCGGTGCACTGTGTTTTATCAAGGGCAGGGTCAATGCAGCTAGCTATCAGGAGATTTTGGAGCACTTCATGCTTCCATCTGCTGAAAAGCTTTATTGAGATGAAGATTTCATTTTTCAGCACGACCTGGCACCTGCTCACAGTGCCAAAACCACTGGTAAATGGTTTACTGACCATGGTATTACTGTGCTCAATTGGCCTGCCAACTCTCCTGACCTGAACCCCATAGAGAATCTGTGGGATATTGTGAAGAGAAAGTTGAGAGACGCAAGACCCAACACTCTGGATGAGCTTAAGGCCGCTATCGAAGCATCCTGGGCCTCCATAACACCTCAGCAGTGCCACAGGCTGATTGCCTCCATGCCACGCCGCATTGAAGCAGTCATTTCTGCAAAAGGATTCCCGACCAAGTATGTTCAGTTTTATGTTCAGTTATGCACTATTGAGTGCATAACTGAACATAATTATTTGAAGGTTGACTTTTTTTTTTTTTTAAAAACACTTATTTTATTGGTCGGATGAAATATGCTAATTTTTTGAGACAGGAATTTTGGGTTTTCATGAGGTGTATGCCAAAATCATCAGTATTAAAACAATAAAAGACCTGAAATATTTCAGTTGGTGTGCAATAAATCTAAAATATATGAAAGTTTAATTTTTATCATCACATTATGGAAAATAATGAACTTTATCACAATATGCTAATTTTTTGAGAAGGACCTGTAGTATTTTTGGCTGGGAGTAAGAGATAGGAAATCACAGTATTTTCTTTGCATCCGTTGATCTCTGGCTAAGTGAAGTTGTAAACATCAACGAGAATCCCAGGGCATGGTAGATTTTCCACTAAACACACCCTTCTCTCCAGCTGTGGGGTTTGAATGTGACCTACGCAGCTGTCCAGCTGGGGTTTACTCAAAATACAAGCTAAAGAAAACAGAAATGAAAGATAGAATTAAAAAAACTTTAAGATAAAAACAATTGGCACTAAATGTGTATTGTATGGTAATGATTCTTATGATTCTTTTATTCTTTATGTTATACAATCAAATGGAATAGCTGCAATTTTTCTGTGGTCTTCCTCCTCAGGTTGTTTGGGAACAGCCGGAGCATTGATCTACGGCCTCGGCGCCTTCAGACGGGGCAAGACCCGACAGTCCCAGCTGCTAATGAGAGCCCGTATCTTCGCCCAAGGCTTCACGGTCGTTGCCATTATAGTGGGTGTGGCTGTGACAGCACTGAAACCCAAGCAGTGAAGAGAACACAGAGACCCTGTTTGACCACATTGACAAATGCCTTATATGGTCGATGGGTGAAATGTGATATGAATGTGGAGTGAACTGAACATTAAATGCCAATTGTTAGCATTTTTTATTTTCTTTAAACTCTTCAGACCTGAAGTTTTCCCACTGAGCAAAAACAAAATAGCCCAGTGTAAGATCTCATATTATAGATCGACTGGTGGCACTATTTATAAAAGTGTATCAAACTGCCACATGCATTTAATACCCAGTATTTTATTTAAAGAGTGTCACAGTAACCACTGTTTTGAGGTTAAAGCATCTAGTTGACAGGCATAGTACCTGTTTTTCCATGTTGATGACCATTTCTTGAAACATTACATTGCTTCTTACCTCAGTTTTCTATTATGTATGTATGTGGACTAGTCAAGCTGCAGAGTAATGTATTCAAAGATAATGGGGATTCTTGATATTATCTAAACTATCCACCTGTAATAAATGTAGGCCTAAGTCTTATTTGTTTAGAAAAGTTACAATGAACGTCTGAATTCATTAGTTTTTCATTGAATTAATTTTATTTATGTATTGAACGTGTTATTGAATACACAATAATTATTGCATGGTCTGCATTGATGCACACACATAGAGTATTTGGAGTCAGGGTGAGGGCTAAGAAATCTATAAAAGGGAGAAAAAAAGTAAAAAATCACTGAGAAATGTAACCAATTTTAAATTACAAATTGATTTCATTACTAGATTGCTTCAATTAGTCAAAAAAAAAACTACAGATCGTTTCTTTGGCTATTAACCTTTGTTAGTTGTAATATGCAAATAAACTTCCAACCAAAATTCAGTTTTCAATGGAAACAAGGCCTCCTAACTTGTACAAACAAACTGTAGCATTTATACACCTGCCAATAAGTAACAAGCAAAGTCAACATCTGGACTATAAAAAGCAGTATTGTTTAACTTCCAGCATTTTTTGAAAAAGAACAACTATTCATTATTTCACTGTGCTACGTTTTATTTCTAGCGCTTTTGGATGCTTGACTGATGAAGGCCTACAGATAGTAAGTCTCACAGTGAGAAAAGGTTTAGGCACAGGATTCATTGCTGTAGACTGAGAATCAGGAACTGTACACTTGACAAAGTACATTATTTAAACTCTGTATTATTAGTCCCATATGTAGTAACAGTGGAAAACATTAACCGCTACATGAGCACAGTGCAATGAAGGATTGCTGTGCAGTAACTCTTCTTCATTTGTAAAAGATTTTTGCTAATTTAAGTAATTAAGAAGCTGTTATGAGCAACATGCATGGGAAATTAAAAACTGCACATAACTAATAATTATTTGAATATTGAAAATTGGTAATGTGAAAATTATAATAGGTCAATAACCTTAGCAAGCTCAGAAATATAATGTCCCTCTTTGCAGTGAACAGAAATACAAAAAAGCAATGATGCCAAACCCAGATACTGATTACACCACAGCATTCAACTATTGAAGACAAATAATGACAAAAAAAATATTACATAGGGTGAGAGATGGTAACTAAACTGTATCCAAGTATAGAATGTAAACGAATACTTCCATTTCCTTTGTTGCAAGGCAACAAAGACACTTTTGGTTCCAGTGAATTAATGCTGTCTCATGGTTTGCAGGCACTGCAAATGTCACAACAATCACAAAATAACTTGTAAGATGCACCAAAAAAACTTTTGGCATTTAGATAGAACTGCTGCCTTTCATGGACATTGGGATCAAGGGAAAAACCATGAATTCTTTTGACCTGTTTTCAAATGTTCTTCGTGGCACACTTGATTTTTTTTTTTTAAACTTACAGAATAGCCGAAATCTTCTGCCATTGCGAAACACCAGGGTACATAAATAGGAAGTTTAAATACAGTAAAGTGTACACATTCAATGACCCCATTAAAACATAAAAACTTAAATCTGTTTAAGTGTTCAGCCTCACTAAAATAAAGTGCAAGAGGGAACAAGAAAAGAAAGCCTAGGAGAAATGGTTATGTTAGCGAACCAGAGGCGTCTGTTTTAGAGAAATAAGAACGGAGCGCATCCGAGACACGTCTTTAGTCATACGGCTGGTCTTGGGGTTGAAGTCGCATAGACGGGCCACTTTCTCCCATTCTGTTCCAGGACTGTCATCATCACACTCCTTGAGGAAGGCCTCCTCTGATGCTCTAAAAGAACAGACAGGAGAGAATCATGAGCACCAGAGGTCATGTCATGCCTCGATATCAACCCCCAGTTTCACAGACAAGGCTTAAGCCTAGTCCCAGACTAAAATACATATTTGAGCTGTTTTAACTGAAAGCTACTTGTACTGACATATCTTAAAATATGTCAGTGCCATTGTTTTGTCTCAAGATGCACACTAGTAAGGTTTTCTTCTAAGGCACTTTTATAAAAGCTACTTAAGTGCCCTAATTGAACTATGGCCTAATCCTGGCTTAGTCTAAGCCCTGTCTGTGAAACCGGGCCCAAATGAAATGAGAGATCGACCAACATTATTTTCTATGTCCGATCTCCGATGGTAATTATTTTCTGTCCTAACATGACAATTTTTTTTACAGTCTATATGGTCTGAACACACTGAATGTGAAAGTTACACAATGTGACAATCACAGCCAATCAGAAGACATTTGTTATAAGTATATCCAGTTGTTTTGCCTAAACTTCTGTTTCTCAATTGAGAACGAAAGGGGAAACTTTTAAACCTATTAACAAAACTAGAAAAATGTGAATATCTGTCAAATATTGGTCAATTTAATATATATTAATAAAATTCATTTAAATAAAATATATATATTTAATAAATATTAAATTAATCAGATCTCTAAATGAAACGAGAAACAAAGCATGAATGTGATTACACTATCATTCAAAAGTTTGGGGTAGGTAAGATTTGTTTTGAAAGAAATGATAGAAATTGTATTCAGCAAGGACACACTAAATTGATCAAAAGTGACAGTAAAGATTTCTATCTTAAATAAATGCTTTTTCAAAAACTTACTATTTATCAAAAAATCCATGCATCACAGTTTCCACAAAAATATTAAGCAGCACAACTGTTTTCAACAGTTAAATGTGTAATAATAATTTACAATATTTCAGTTTTGATTAAACAAATGCAGCATTGGTGAGCAGAACATTAAAACATTACAAATCCTAAAACATTACATTACAAAAACATGTAAAAACATTACAAATCCTCAATGACCCCGAACATTTGAACGGCAGTGTAGTATCTTTGTTTATGTGATGCAAGCAAGGAACTGTGCATTTATGTTATTTCACTGATATGCATTAAACATACACAAAACCTATGGCATCAGAGTTGGGCTGTTTGTAGAAAGCCTTATCAGCGATCCTAGTGCACAAATAGGCAGGACAACACAAGAGGAAATGAAAACAAGATAAAGGAAAGGAAGAGAAAAATTGGAGCCGGAAAATGAAAGGGAGAGAGGGATACATAAGAAGAACATCAGTCTCACACAAGCTGCACATCAAAAGAAGTGTTAAAGTGCATCAAATCCTTTTTCATGATACTAAGAAGACTGAAGATAAAAGTTGAGATTAATCAACAGCATACGTGGTGCGGTTTGATCAGAAAAAGTTTGATCATCCCCTCAGTACGAATTGTAAGTGCATTACTTCAAATAAGATTTTTGCTTTAAGGAACAAGTCTACATTTCTTAAAGCTTAGCCCTCATTGAACCCAGAATATTCCTTTATTGATTATTTTACTTGACGTGCCTTTGTTTCTCTATCTGCTATTGGTTTACAAACACAAAATATTGAACGTGAATGAAAGGGATGGTACGGCAAATAAAAAATGCTGTCCTGCTGAGTTTAGCTCCAACCCTGCTTAAAGAAAAAAAAAAAAAAAAAAAAAAAACTTAGGCTGTCTCCAAAACCACCCTTATACCCTTAAATAGGGCGCTATTTGAGGGGACAGCCATTTGTAGTGGTGTCTGATACCATAGTGGACATTATTGAGTGCACTTATTAAATCCCACAAGGGCTACAGGGTAATATCATACAGGTATAAATCCATTTTTAATTGATTATTAAATTGTTCAAACATACACATGTTAGTTTCCATGACAGAGTTCAAGATACATTTTTTTCAACTTACAACTGGAGCTGCCAGTTTGCTAAGTTTCAAATAATTATTAAACAGCAAGCACAAACTATGCAACAGCGGCAGCCCTTCCGGCGCACTCAGTGTCTGAATTCACGCCCTCTCAAGTGAACTATATTAGCTGCTAGTGGAGTAATTTATGGAATAGTGAATGAGGGTATAGGGGTCGATTTCAGGCTATGTTTACACGGAAACGATCTGAAGAGAAAACGCAAAACTGGTGTTGCGTTATCACTTTTTGTTCTGCGTTTAGACGGTTGGGAAATCCGCGTGCATATGACGCAAAAGTGTGTGAAATTCGATGTAGTATGCACTCCAGGAAGCTAGGTGGCAATGTGAAGCACTGCCACACAACAACACCAATATCTTAGAATATTTTGTACAACTGCTAAAAAAAAAAAAGACTCTTGTATGTTTTTCAGAGCTGCTAGGGCAACTTGAAGGTCCGGCGTATGGAAATAATCTGACACGTTGGTTGTTATTTTCCTGTACTAGCGCATGCCTGTGACGTAAACGCGTACGCGACGCCACCGTGAGCAGATTTGCGTTTTTTTCCGTTTAGACAGGAACGCGACGACGGTGGAGCGTTTTTAAGATTTCCACTCTGGAGGGTGGTTTCACTTTTTTGCGTTTTTAAGCGCCCAAAACGCCGTTGCCGTGTAAACGAAAGGCACATCCGATAAAATATTTTTACGTTTTCACCCGGAATCGTTCTCGTGTAAACGGGGCCTCAGACACAGCGACACTGATTAGCTTGTTCAGGTGTGTTTGATTAGGGTTGGAGGAGCTAAACTCTGCAGGACAGCGGCACTCAGCGTTGCCCATCCCTGGCTAAAGTCAAAGTTCATGTCATTTCTATCAATAATAAAAAAGCATGCAGACAACTTTATGAACAGTCTTCTCTGTACACATGAAAATCTACAGTAAAACAAAGGGAATCAGATACCATGCAAGAGTCTGTTAAGAGGTGTGAGAGGTTGCTGACATTTAAAGCCAGCAGTAAGACTCACAATTAATTAATTACAGTAATTACGTTTACTTTTGAGTATGAGTCAAATGAGAGCTCCTCTAAAACATATTATTCATATTAAAAAAATATATCAGAAAACAAATATATGTAAGATACGTAAATCAAGTAAAATAATAATACTGACAATAGTAAATAACAATAAAACTCAGTTCTAGCTAACATTTTATAAGACATTCTTCATATCAATTGTTTTTGTATTTTTTGTATGGACTGGTGGTTCACAACAGTCTGCATCCTAATCTTCACTAACAAAAACATATAGTTCAATAAAGCATGCATATTAAAGATGTTAGGGTGAAAATACTTGTTGTTGGCTTTATTTTTCTCCATCTGTTCATTCTGGTGTACATGCCAGTCCTCTAGTTCTTTCCGGGCCTTGTCCCTCCACACAGCCTCAGCTGCTTTAGAGGCGGAATCTGCACATCGGAAACCAGAGAAAGTTCATATACAAAGCTGCTTATTTCATTTGTCTTTGTTTGCAAGATAATCATAGGTTTGGCTGCCTGTTTATGTTTTTTAAATACAAATTCATTTTATGAATCTGCTGCTTAAATAAAAGCATTCAACTATTTTCACTCTCAAATGTGCCTTTTATCAGTTCTAACTTTATGTTTTGCTGGCCAGTATTACAAACTGGTACCTATTATGTGGATGTAGCATTACTTAAAAGTGAAATACCCTATTCGGTTTAGTCACTCATGATTCATTTGTTTTACAACCTAAAGTATCTGATAATCATGGAAACTTGTTTCCACCATGGAATGAAAAAATAAAACTTTTTTTCTTGAAATGACAAGTTTATATCTCACAAATCTACAATTGCGGGTTTATATCTCACGATTCTGAGATATCTTGCAATTGCAAGTTTATTTCTTATAATTCTGATTCAGAATTGTGAGATAAAAAGTCGCAATTACCTTTCATATTTTTTATTCCGTGGAATAATGGAGGGGTTTCAGGGATGAAGTGTTTAGTATTCAGCTGGTCGTGTGATCTAAACGTGCTGGCCACCGTAAGAATGGACCAGTCTTATGTGGAATAAACTGGAATAAACATATTTTTCAAAAGTACTATTAACTAAATGATTTTAAACTGTGCTTTTAAGGCCTGGTTTCACATACAGGGCTTAGATTAAGCCAGGAGTAGGCCTTTAATTAGGGCATTTAAGTAACGTGTCTTAGAAAAAAACATCATTGATGTGTATCTTGAGGCAAAACAATGGTACTGACCTATTTTAAGATACGTCAGTGTAAGTTGCTTTCAATTAAAACAGCTCAAATATGCATTTTAGTCCGTGAAACCGAGCATAGATTAAATAAACTTAAACCAAACTTAAGTTAAGTTACATTTCCTGCATCTAATATGACATGCCAAACAATTGTCTTAATTGAACTTGGCAGGCTATCCAGTTAGTAACACACACACACTCACACTCTTATTGACGGTTATTTCTAATTCTACAGGAAATAATTCATACCTAATTCCTCCAGCCGAGACTTTTGTTCCTCCCTCCATTTGCGCAGACTTTCAGGTTCTTGTCTCAACATGTCGACTTGAGCAATGGCTGAGTAGCCATCAGTTGTGCCGTTGGTGTCCTAATGTTACAAATGATGATGTAACGTTAATAACGTCCTTCCCTGGCACAACTGGCAATTGTGTTGTAGTACATAAAAACAAAACAAGAACATTTTATATGACAAGATTAGTTGTTGTTTTTTAACCACACTCACCTGAAACATATCTCCGTTTACAGCAGTAGCTGGTGCTCCTCCAAAATCACCTGCACTCAAAAAGAAGAAACAACGAGTTTCAGCACTTGTTAGGCAACAGTTTCTACACTGTGTTGATTTATGGAAACATTACAGGCATCACCGGAATGCAGCACACCTTGTTGGACTGTGAGTACGTAAAAGACCTCTCTCACAATTTCTGGATCTAGTCAGCATGGGCTGGTGTGTTCTCTTTTATTATACTCAATGGCTTTTACTAGTGTGCTTTTCCAGTGGTTTGTTTGCTGGTCTTACCCTGACAGGTACAGGTGTGACTTTAACTCCAGCATTAAAGCTGATGATGTGATGCTAGACTACTAAAAAACATTGACTAGAACATTTGTTTTGGTGGTATTAGTTTTTAGTTCAGTTAAACAGTAAACCATATATATCAGTCTTCATGGTTGTTGTAAATCATAATAATTATTTTATTAATCTTCACTACTGTCAATAGCTCATTTTGATGATGATGTAGATTAGATTTAGAGCATCTTTGCTATATTTTTCTATATGTATTGCAATGACGATTCATTCTAACAATCAACAAGTACAGTGTAATTATTTTGTAAGCTTGGTTGTTTTTCTCCATTCTGTCACCTGATGGAGTTTTGGTTCCTTGCCACTGTTGCCTTGGCTTTTGGCTTGCTTAGTTGGGGACATTTAATATTCAACAATATTATTGATCTGCCTTACTTAAGGTGGACGTTGACGCAATTTTCTTCTAGAAACAAACTTTGTAGTATTATTTTCATGTTATCACAGTGAAGCTGCTTTGATACAATCTCTATTGTAAAAGGCGCTATATAAATAAAGGTGACTTGACTTGAGTTGACTTTTTGCTCTGAATTAATTTGCAACACTTTACTAAAAAGTACTACGGCAGTACTATGGTAGTGGCGGTACCCAGTGGTAATACCATGGTACTTCTATATAATGTAATATCAGTTACATGCAGTTACTATAGTAACTATAAATTATGCATAATTACAACTAAACCAAACCTAACCCTATAGTAAGTACATATTATTACTTAATATTACTCAGTACATGTATAATAACAGTGTAACAAGACACCTAAATTAAGGTGTCCATACTTTTTTGGACATGTACTATGGTATTCTTAAAAGCAAGTACAAATACCATGGTACAAGAATTTCAGTACATTTAGTAAGGGATGGTCAAAAACCATGGTACGTTTTAAGTGATATGATCTCATTTAGTAACGTTACAATGGAATTGTATGGCACTCCACGGTACTTTTAAGAATTCCACGATAGATATCCAAAACAGGGTACTACTAGTACTTATGTGTAAGAAGGATACTGTAGTATATTTTTACAATAAATAAATAAAATAACTCGAAAATTTATTTTTGCTTAAAAGCAAAAGCAAACAGCCCGCCGTGGCACACGCACCTCCGATGAACGTGTACGTGTCCGCGGGCGGAGGTCCGTCGTCGTCCTCCAGCGCGCCGAAGCCGAAGCCGGCGCTGTCGTTCTCGATCACAGCGATCTCATTCTCCTGCTGGGCCAGAAACTCCGCGGCCGGGTCTTCTTCTGTATGAACGCCGTTGTCGGAGGCGACAAACCCAAAGTCGTCAGCCATGTTTAACAAAGTAACACCGGCTTCCGTAAAGCTGCACTAAAACCCTCCAGCTGTTCTGTTCTTCGAGCGAGTTGGTAGTGTTTGAAAGGAACAATGAACGTAGTTGTTATAATTTGTATATAAAAAGTATATAAAGTAATTTGTACTTTTTTAATGGCAGCAGGTTGGCTATGAGTTGAATGACGCGCAGCTCTCGTTGTTGGGAGTGTTGTGAAAATGACAGGAACAATGTTGAACACACAGTTGATTTTTGGTGTTGTGTCTCCATCTACTGGAGAGAGTACGTAATACAGGCTCCAAACCTACAGGAAGCCAGGTATTCATGCCGTGACGTTGATCATGATGATTTTATTTTTTCCATCTTTAAAGGGGTTTTTGGAAGCCACTGGTTATACAAATAATAAATTTTGTTTAGCATATTTGGAAACCGAATTGCAATGCTGAGCTTTTTCAGGTTTTTTTTAAGCAGCACATGCTTCTTTGACTTTCTGGAAGACAATTTCCAGCAAGCTAGGTTGAAATTTGAATGTATTTATGCCGGTACAGTCCTAATAACTAAAGTAAAGTTTCATGATCTTGAGATTTTCCTACACCTGACCTGACCTCAATGAAGTACCTGAAAATGTAGTAAAGTCAAGACTGACCTATGTTGAACATAGTTTTCTGTATTATACTCGGGTACAACACTTGAATAAACAATGAATTATTTAGTATGGGTAAATAAAACAATGCATAAAATAAAATAAAATAAAAAAGAAGCCCACGTTTACAAAACATCAAATCTGTATTCTACAAACAATTGAGTACCTGCCGTCGGGTAATAGACTCAATGAATGTACACAAACTTGAACATCTTCATTTAAACATGTATAGAACATAAAAGTCTGGCCACGGGGGCGCGCCCACCGAGCCCGTGCGTCAGGCCACCACGTGACGCATGACGTATTATCAGAGTCCTACTAAAAGAAAATCCAACAGGGAAAACCTGCGGCTTCTGCGCGCGACCTGACGCCCAAGTCTAGAAAGTTGTGAAGTTTACTTGATCTCTATTTATAACAGCTCATCAGATCAGAAGACGGAAGGCTGCGATGTCTGTCGATCACAAGGAGGTAACTTAAATGCTCTGCTTCCCAACTTCTTTTTGGATGTACCGGCAGCAACTGGGCTTTAAAAGAGAGTGTATTACGTTTCTAGGTTACATACATAGACTCTCATAGTATAAGTAGCCTCCTGCTGAAGGCTAAACGGTTATGATGGCAAAATTATGCATCAGCTTTAGGATACTTTGGGACTTATCCTAACATGCAATTAGTAAAACATTCGTTTACACTATAATGTGGTTTGGCAGCTAATCTGAATTCTCTAAAGAGCTAAATGTGTTCTTTGTAGGAAACATTATTTTTTTAGTGATCCTTTAGTTGTAATGATTACAAAGTAAAAAATTGCAGATTGTGTAGTTGTCATTTAGTTTCATTGACTGAAGGCCACGACATTGGTTTTATTTCCACATATTGAGAAAAAAAAGTCAAATTATGCAAAGTTCATGTATAGTTTGCATGCAGTTTGCAAAGTACAAGATTTATGCGTGCCCTCACATGAACCCTATTGATAGAAAGGAGTTCAGATAGCTTGATCACTTGCCTGTTTTTATGCATAGTTATGTGCTTTTTTACTTTCATTTTTAATTCACCCTAGGGGATGAGATGTCAGGCTTATGAATGAATATTATTTTAAAAGTAATTTTTATCACAAAGGACTGAATGAAATTGGAGGTAGTTAGTGGAAAATTGAAGTGCACACAGAAAAGAGGACCTTTCAGAACGTACAATGCCCTCTCAATTACAGTTTTGCCACAGGGTTTGACAACAGCTGCAGTTTTGTTCTCTCAAATTGTATTCAGTCTGACATAACCTACTTGGGGTGGTACAGCTTTGCTGTCTAAAACACATGTTATTCGCACAGTGCGAGAAGACCATTCAGAATTCATAATGGTTTCTCAATTGGAGTTTTACCACAGGGCAAACACAGCGCTGCTGCATTCTCAAATTGCTGTCACATACCCAACTGTGGGTGCAACCATGAAACATATGTTATTCACATTGAGAGGAATGTTCATTTGGCTTCCCACCCATCCAACCTGCCTTCTGATGTCTTTTTCTGGTAGTTTATGGGTTTAAATGTTACATCTAGAGCCAGAGAATCTGAGGTAGTAGATGTTTTCTCTTCCTTCCCTCCCTCCCTCTCTCTTTCCCCCTCTCCGTGACTCGTGGGTGATGGGCTGAAATAGTTTGGTGTAGTTTTACATTCCTTATATAGCCTGTGGAGTAAGAGAGACGTGGAGCGAACCCGTGTCACAAAGAAGGAGGGGAGGGAGGGAGTTGAGCTTTGCCTGCAGTGAGAAAGTCAGGCTGTCTTGCAGTGCCAGATTTCCACTTGGTTCTCTGGAGGTTTGGGTGACAAGTTTGGTCCGTGGCATAAGGTATGTGTGCGCAGTGCCACATTGTAACAGGGAAACTCTGTGTGGGATAGGATAGCCACTGGAGTTTGGAGATTATAAGTCACAGGGAGGGGGGATATGTCATGATTTTGGGGACTCAGCTTGTCCTTGGCTTTTAGTTTTATGTCATGTTACTATTTGATATTGTACCAACCCGTAACATAATGAACAGTGATGCAATGATTTTCTGGAGGTGCCAGTAGTTATTAAATGAATCTGCTATCATATCATCATGCATAAGCGTGTCATGTGCTCATGCTTATTTCAAACAGCCAGTGAGTGCTATAAATCTATGCTGAGCTACTAAAATGTGCTGGTTTGTCATAATATATTGCATTTTCACTCATGGATTTGCTAGAGTGTAGATAATGTGCTCTTTCATTGTCGATCACTGACCAGTAATTTGCAGTTCACCACAAAATGGAAATGTATAGGTGCTTATTTCTGTCACTTACCTGATAATTAATTTAAATAAGCCGAATCTCAAATGTCTCCACGAACGCTGCCGTTAACAATTGACCACACAGGAATAAAAGTGTTTTCAAATGGTTTCAGTGCTGTTAACCTCAAGCCAAATCTGTTAAAACCTGATGTTTATACTTTTGTTTAGTTGTCAAGTCATTTTTTTTTATGTGTGTAGTGTTTTTTACAATACACAGGGTTTTAAACCAGCTTTACAGACATTTTAATATCTTAGAGCTGGGCGATAAAGTATGTTGCTTTATGTGAGTATGCTGTATGTATGCGAATAAAGTTGGACATACTTCTATATCCAACTTCTTTTAAAGAGCTGTTCGATAATATAGTTTACGATATAAGCCTTTGAAAGGTTCTAAAAGAGGGTTTTCACAGTGATGCCATATCCATTTTGCGTTCCCAAAGAACCTTTTTACGAGTGTATTAGTATACATAGCTAGCTTTATGAGAGTGTACTCTATGTATGCGAGTAAATTTTGATATATTATATTGTTCAATGTTGTACTCGAGATATCTTGGTTGTTGGGTTTAATTCACGCACAGTCAGACATCAACAGCATACCAGACACTGTTCACGTATGTGGCTCTGGAATGTTTGGTTTTAGCCTTGTTAGGAGCTCCGAATCACTTGTAATATTATTACTACATGATGGAATGAAACCATAATCTCTCTTTTGTTTGTTTTCTCTTCAGGCCATGAATATATATTGTGTAACACTCAACGGACCTGCTCCCTGGGGTTTTCGGCTTCAGGGAGGCAAGGACTTCAACATGCCCCTGACCGTGTCCAGGGTAAGTGACCTCATCTTGGATGTAGCGATGGGTAATAGACATGTTTTCTTATCAGCTTAAGCTGTCAGCCGCATATTAATGATGTATTCATCCCATTTGTTCCCTTTAACATTTCAGTTTGACAAATGAAATGTTTGTTTCGCAGACTTCATTTTAGATAGCATGAATCCATCACTCACTCAAGGTGTTTTCATCCCCCTAATGAGGTTTTGCACCAATTCTGTGTTAGTTTACGGTCCCGTCTCTGCGTGCAGAAAGACATCAAACACAAACTCAAAAGGAAATGCAATCGAGTTAACGAGAACCGTGTGCTCGGTGCTTCATGAGGTCTATTTCAACACTTGCATTCCTTCAGAAACATGTCACCGCTTGATATCAACCCCATAAGAAAAGGGCTGCTTCAGAACTCCATTCAGATGTCTCCTCACAAGGATATGTTAAGCTTTGTTTAGTTTCCAGCATGCGTTGTTCTCTCTTTAAGGTCATTGAATCTTGGCTTAATGGCACCTCCAATGGAGCATATTGAACAGATCAGGTCCAGATGCAGAATTTCCATTCCTTATATGAGCAGTGTTGTTTGTAGTATACACACAATGTCAGCTCTGGTAGCTAGTGCTGTTGTGAACCTAAAAGGTAATTTCGTATGTATACGAATACCATAGGGACGATTGAGGCCTTGGTTTTGATAAAGGCAATGCGTGTACGTAGGTTGATTCCACAGAAAAACATTAAATATTGTGACTCTGTACTGTCTTCAAAACATTGCTCAGTTTGTTGAGCATCCTAACTAGCGATGCGTTTCCCAAAAGCATTGTTAGCCAACTATGGTTGCATGTTCCATCATTACCATCGTAGTTCAACGATTCAGCATTTTAACGGAAACCGTTGCGAATGCCTAGTTAATTTCTCCAACGGTGAATTGTAGTGCGGTGGTTAAGCTGCGAGTTACGTCTTCGTTTGTGAAACACCCCAGCACAAGACTGGAACATTGGATTAGCTTGGGGCAAGACTGTCTGTTTGCTCAACCAATGACAGACGAGTTTGAAAAGTCATTTTTGCAGTTTCTCTAAGTTATGCTAGTGCAGCGGAAATGACACTCTTCACAAGTCTTGTGTCTTCTTGTTTTATTGCATTAAGTAATGTGTCTTGTCCTTTATAGCTTTTCTTGTCTACATCTGCATGTACTTCTTAATGATTGATATTGATTCATTGGCCTTTTTTCTTTTTGCCATTTTGAGAGTAATGACTACCACTTGGCTGAAGAAGTTACCAAAAGGAGCATTTCACTTGTGTAAAAATTCCAAAGTTTCCCGACAGCCTCATTTACTTGTAAATTATTTTATGTTAATATCGGCTTCTAAATATTGAGGAACAATAACTGGACTTTCTATGTTTTCATCTCTGCCAGATTTTTACAACATTATCACCATTTTCCTTTTTTTTTTTCTGACATGGCCGTGTACATCTGTTTAGCCCTCAGACGTCTGTCGGCGTTGATGACTTGCATTGACACTCCCTTAAATGTCTGCTTCAGTCAAAATGATGACTTCATCCGTCAGTGTGTGAGCCGGCCATAACGCCGCCTGCTGTTGCCAGATGTTATGCAATAGCAGAAGCGTGTCTGTGCGTGTCATTCTTTGCCTGATTTAACTTCTCATAAAGTGCATTGCAGGGTCTTGGGTTTATAAAGAATGATTTCATTACAGGACTGAACAGATACCAGCATCTCCTCACGCTAGAGCTAACATAGCAAAAATGATGACTATCATTTTGGAAATGAAGAATATATTCTTCTTTTTGAGTTAAACTGCAGGAACCGCTTCAGCGTTAATTCGAAGAAATGGAAACTTGATCAAAAACAGCTCTGTTTTCAGCACGCCGTTTCAGTGTATATGACTTTAAAGCTGCAGTAGGGAGTTTTGAGAAAACGTTGACTTAGCCTGAAAATTTGAACAAGCACAACTTACAGGTCCCACCCCCTTGCTCTCTGCTGCGCTACAGCTCGTCCTCCACAGCTCGTCCTCCACAGCGGAGCCTGTCGTGAACGCGCAGGCTAGTAAACAGGGCCACCGATGACGGCGGATAACAAGTTATATGGCACATTCACTAATAGGGACTAAACGTCAATAATATGCTTTACATTGACTATGGCCTGCCCATACTTTGATTACAAACTTGGTCCTCAAATCATTATGTATTTTCCAATAGCCTACATGTAACTTTATAACGTTGCACTCTTTCTATAAGTAATAAATAGCTAGTAAGATAACGTTAATATAACGGTAACTAACGTTACAGTATAGTAATTATTCTAGCGATATATAATGCTAGATAAGGTGTGCTAGTACATTATTTCAGCAACATGACAAGCCAGTGAATTAGCAGGTTTCAATTGTTGCTTAGCAGAGCGCGTGACATTTTATCTACATGTTATGCGGCTAGAGTTTTGACACGGAGTCAATGGGCTCTGTGTAATTCTTTCTTTTTCGCTTGTTTATCGTCATCGGTCTTTTTCCTTTTACCTCTTTGTTTTATGAGCAGGTGTCACTCGAGAATTGGTCATAAGCACAGCTGCAGCACGCCGGCAATCTTGAGTTTGAACGACGGCTCGCGCTCCGGCGCTCGCGCTGTGCAAGAGAGGGGTGTGATCAGCGCGTACACGAGCGTGATTGACACTGCTGAGACATTCCTCCTGGCTCTGATTGGTTGTTTTTGACCGGGAGCGTGTATTTCTTGCAAATGGCAATAGGACCACTGGGAGGAGCCAGAGGAGCTTGATTTTTACACAGATTATCTGTCTCATATTCTACTGTCAGGACATAATGACAGTTTTAGCAAATACATGTTTTCAAAAGTTACCTACAGGAGCTTTAAATGATAATGAGCTTTGCTCACCCCGCCTCTGTTCTGTGTACACCGTTTGTAACACAATAACCATAACGCGTTGTTCATTATAGTCGTGGGATTATGAATTATATTGAGAACGTCGTACATAGAAAACATGCCGTAATGTACCCTGAGTGTAAACCTTAGACGCATTCATTGTGAAGCGTGCATCTAGCGATTTGCAAAGATTATTATAAATATTAAAGATTAATAAAACGTTACACTCACTTCAGTTATTTTGGAGGTTCAGCAGGAACACGAATAGTTGGTACCGGTCCAGGAGCAGCTTCTTAGCAAAACCAGCTTTATACTGACCCTCCTCGTTTATAAGCAGTCTGGTGTGTGAAATGATTTGCGCAAATATGAAAGCATTGACGTTGCTCGTGGGGAATATTCCCTTCGAAAACAAACTCAGCCACTGCGTCTTCAGCGGTTCGGATTTAGGAACATTAAAATGACTGCTGTGTTCGTTATTACACCCAAGAACAGAACACCACAATCGCTTAGACGCCATTCTGCTCATAGACAGTGCTCCAGCATATCAACAATGACCGCGCCGGTCCGCGCAGACTATGATTGACAGCTCTCACGAGCGAGGGCGGGTCTGTGTTGAAACCCGGCTGTCAATCAACAATCGCAGGAGCGGCGTCCGACCGTGTGACGTCACAGGCTCGAACGGCTCGATTTGAGACAGGGGAAAACATATAAGGAGATTAAAACAAAAACACTGGATGGATTTTTATCATTTTATGATGTTTGTGTGCTGGCACTGCCAACACACATTTCAGTACAATCAACTAGTAAAAGTGCATGTACCATTAAATGACCCCTTCCAAAGTTCATGGGGATAATTGTCGGATCTATGTATTTAATCACGTGAAAACATTAGATCTCATTAAACGACAAATTAAACAATGTACTATTGTATACTATGTAATACGTCACGCTCTGCGTGAGTGGTATTTACGACATTAACGTTAAATACAAGTTCTCCACAGCGACTCTAGGGGTCACTGTTTGACAAAAACGGGATTCCTGCCTGGTGTCCCTTTTAATTTTCACAGGAATGTTACAGTCGGACAGCTTCCTATGTTCTGGTTGACATCACCCAGTCATTACTGTGCCTCATTAGGTGTGTTTGTTCTGTCGTTTGAGATTACACTATGCTGTTAAAGGTGATTTGTATAGTCTGATATGAAGGACGGTGATTCATTCATCTTGACAGAAGGCTACACCCTTCTACATTGCCGTACTGTTGAGTTATGCAGTGTTAAATCACGCTGGGTTGAAACAGACCGTGAGTTAATGAAGATAAGCTCTGTCCACAGGTTTTAAAGGGGAGCAATCTGAATATGGGTGGTCTGTTTCCCCCCTTCTCCTCAATGGGTGAACAAAGAGGTTAAAGAGTGAGGTATTATGTGCTGATGCACACAAGGCTGGCCATTCAAACAGGAGAATGATGAAATGGAACATAGTGGCTTATTTATAGAGGACTGCTTAAACTATTGCTGTTATACACAATAATTAGTGGTACTTGATTTGAACAAACCACTAATACTGTGTTTTAAACTTTGGCATCTAACTCATTTTGCACCGCTTGTGCTATATAAACGAATGATAGTCTTTGAGGAGAGGTGCTTTTCTAAGCAATCTGGTGATTCTGGTTTTGCAAAAGCACAGAAATCCCAGAGACTTCCATTAAATGAGGGACCCAAGCTATATTTAGGGACCAGAATGTCTTTTGTTTGGTCTCTTTTGACTTGGGCCATTAAGTAACCACCTAGTAACACCCTAACAACTAAAAACAACCCCAGTCCCACATTACTAATACAGTCTAGCAGCATTAGCGACTGTATTTTCCCCATGTCATAAATATGGATCGAGTTCATCAGCTGATGGCATTTGGAAACTGGACTGGCCTTAATATTTCTCTGAGCATTTCCCTTTTTTGCTCCTCCTCCTCCTCCTGTTCGCTTTCCATTGGACACCTCGGCACATTTCTTCAGCATTCCTGGGATTTTAACATTGCTTTCCTATTTCTGGCAACAGAGCAGCCCTTTGTCTGCTTTTGTACCCACTATCCATTAATGTCTCCAGTCATCATTCCCAAAACC